TTACTTAAAAACAATCGAAATACGTGTGTACATCAATAATGAGCCAATATATACCACGAAAATCATCAAGGAAATGGTACATAAGTAAACAATCAAAATTTGAAAAAAAAAACAACTGACAGTGTGTTCTGCACAAATGAATGAATGAGGAAAACAATAACGGAAAAAAATATCCATCACCTTCATTACAACGAAACAAAACAATGATACTCTTCGATCGACGATAATCATAACGATAACAATCTTATACGACAATAACAATAATAATAATAATAATAATTTTAATCTCCAATTAATACATCAATATTCATGACGGTACTAATAGTAATAATATTGATAATCAAAAAATACTTACAACATATCCACTCGATTACCTCTCTCAAATGGCCGATTCTCGAAGTCTTTTGAGTCGTTGTGCCAATGACTGTTCATCATTGGTGACACTCGCCGCTGGAGACACAGCTTTTGGTTCTTCGGACGGAACCTCAGGTAAGCCGCTGACCACGGATTCTTTCTCCTCGATCTTCTTATCTGCTAGAATCGCGTTCAATTCAGCCTCCAGATCCGCTTCATCAACGCCATTTGTCACCGGAACTCCCGCCGAAATGGCCTCTCTTATCTCCTCGGCTGTTGCCATCGCATCACTTATACTATCCATTGTTTCATCAATCTAAATTTTGCATATTTTCAAGAAACGTAATATAATAGAAATGAGAATGCACACGATATTCACACGATATTTAATGCAAAATGCAAAATAAACAATAGCAGCAATGATCACCTGTTCAGGTTGAATGCCTTGTCTTTGCAGAGTTGCTTTAAAGGCACTGGCTCCAGCCTTGTATGCATCCATGATTTGTTTGTTCTGTTTGGTTTGTCCGAGTTGATGCATCATCTCGAGTAATCGTTGATACTGATTATCTTTTGCTTCCACTTCTTGTAAGGCACGTTTCTTTAGACGAAGATGATGTGCCGCACGAGTTTTATCGTTTGCTCGAATACTGGCACGTGCATCCTGCTCACACCTGCAGCAACACTTTAATTGAGGCGGCAAGTTATTCAACGAATAAAAGAAGATAAATGCGAATTAAAATCAATTCAAAGCATTCCAATAGCGCTCTAAATTAAAATAAAATGTTAGCAATTCACTAACTTTTTCGCCCTTTCTTCCAGTCGTTTGATCTCAATTTCAAGTTTA